GACAGCAGTAAAATGTGGATCAGGAACCCTTTCACTGCTGACACTGAAAATGAGGAAGGATTACAACTCAGTGAATCAGAAATTGATTCTATTATCTAACTTCCCTATGACAACGCACTGAAACACCGTTTTAGTCAAGTCTCGTTAATTAATTTTTGGCTGAGCTGTCGTGCTGAGTATCCAAATTTATCAGAAAAGCAGTGAGATTTCTTATGCCCTTTGTCATGACTTATTAGATGTCGAGTGAGATTTGAGGATGAAACTGGCTTCTTTTCCTGATTTGAAGTTGCTGTGTGATAAAAAAACATCATCATCTTTCTCATTAGGTAAGTTTAATGCTTAAAAGAGCATTAATAAATATACAGTTAATGTAAAGATTAAATAACAATGAAGTATAATTTCTTTTTACACAGTAGTACCATAAAATACCTGTATATTTTATAATCGATGATGTATTGATAGAACTATTGCTTCCAGCTTCATGTTATGACTTAGCCATGTCTTAGAGGGTTATCTAATTAGGTATTTGAGGAGGCCAGGCCTCATGAAAAATTACAAAAATAAACCGGTCCCTGGTTAGAAAAGTTTGGGAAATGCTGCTGTAGAGGTATGAAAGATTTGCCCAAAGTCAGAACTAGGATAAAGGTAACTGAGCAGTCTGTCTCAGCGCCCTTCTCACAGGAAAAAGCCTACAAATGTATGACAAGTTAAAAGTGGCCTTGCTGAAATACTATGAGGAAGGTTTTTGTTGGAAGTTCAGAGAAATGAAACCTAACACTGGAGAAACTGTATTTCAGTTTGTGGCATGTCTACAGTGATACTTCACAAGATGGACTGACATGGCTAAATGTGAAGATAGTTTGAAGGATCAGCAGATCTACTAATAGGTGAACAGGTTATGATCACATGCTCCACTGGCATGTCACTGTCCCTAAAGAATGACGTGGACGAGATGAACAAGCTGGTAGAACATTATATGGTAACACATGGAGTGAGTATAACTTGCAAGTCCAAGAATAATCAGTCAAATTCGAAACCAGGGATGACTAACCAGAAGCAGGATGCCACCAAAGTTGACAATAAGTCAACAGACAAAAAGCCATCTATGCTTGTTATAAAATGGTGCACACTGTGAGTGAGTGCAAGTCTGTCACCAACAAGCAACTGCAGAAATCTCAGCATAAAGCAGCTGGAGCTACCTACAAAGATGATGCTAGCAAGAAACAAGAAAAGAGTGACTTTTACTATGAATGCTACTCATCAGATCTACTACAAGAAGGAAGAGCTACCACCATGATAAAACAGTGCATGATAGATGATTAGCTCAAATTAAGAAATGGGTCAACAGCTCCAGTAGTGACCAGAGCATGCAACAAACATCAAGAAGTGCCAACAAACCACAACATGCCAGTTGATGAAGACTATGTTGGGGACAAGAAAGTGAAAGTCCTACTAGACATTGGGTGCAACAGTCTTGCATTTGATGACCAGATGATGGGCAAGGTATAATATGTGTGCTGACTGATGGTGCTGTGAAAGTTTCTCATAGCAAGAATAAAGGTGGGTACTCCATACTATGTGGGAGACCTTGAGGCCATATTTATAAAGGCACCCATCTATGACTTGGTGATCAGTAATATACGAGGCAGTAGCTGTTTGGAGGAACCAGACAGAAATGAAACCAATGAGGCATTTGCAATTAGTACAAGAGCTCAAGAAAAGAAAATCAGGCAATATATCAAACCACTGCAAGTCTCGAAAGTTGAAATTCCGAATGTATATCTACTGTAACTGAAGGAAGCACAAAAGAAAGACCCTTCACTGCAGAAACTTTGGGACAGTGTCCAGGAGAAAGTCGAACACAATATAAAGAAGAAAGGGACTTAAAGAATAGAGGACTGGAAGGGAGAGCTGTACTGGATTTATCAAGACAATTCTAAACAGATCCTGGTACCAACAGAATACTGGACTCAAGTGATAAAGTTTATTTACAAGGCAATTGTGGGAGAAAAGAAGATGGCAGACAAGGGCAACTAGTACATGCTGCTAGTCGTCAACTGTGTCAATCGACTGGGGGAGACCTGTCAACTTTCTCGAGAAAGTTTGTATGCAGCTGAGGGCAGACAGAAGCACTTCTATGGTAAGAAAAACAAGGTTTGATGTTTCAAGATCGGGCAAAAGATCTTAGTTTGGCTACCCACAGACAAAACTAACTCACTCTGCAATGGAAAGGACTGTTTGAAGTACAGGAAGTGGTCGAGAGAATGGACTATAAGGTGAAAGTTGATTGGAAATCAAGATGTACCACACAATTTGTTAAAGAGGTAATCTGAGAGGGAACAAGACCTAATGGGTGCAGCTGTTGAAGCACAGATGGACATTGCAGGTGTGGCTGTCATAGATCAGAACCTTAAGATGGTGACTTTCTCATAGAAAATGAAGACCTATTTGTCTTAAGACTGTTGTGTGGAGATGAGGCTTACAAAGACGCCAACATCAGTGAAGAACTGACTGACAAGCAGAAGAAGGAGCTACATGATGCACCAGCTTCAATGTCCAAGCAGCAAATTAGATCCTTCCTGTAGATAGCAGGATACAATAGGAAGTTCATCCCAAACTACGCTGAAGTCGTTGCACCACTGACTGACCTGACCAAGAAAGGCCAACCCAACAAAGGGAACAACCACAGCAGAAGGCATTCCAGAAGTTGAAGAACATGCTATAAAGTTTGACAATTCTTAGAAAGCCAGACTTTGGCTGGCCCTCACCCTGTTGCCATTCTTGGGTTCTTCATCTTTCTGTTGTGTGAACTTGGCAATCTCACTTTGGGCTCCTATTCTTTCTATTTCCAGTCTCTCTTTTCTCCCATTTTCTTCTTTCTCAGTTTATATTCTTATCCTCTCATCTCTGCTGACGCTCTTCTCTCTCTAGGTTTTTTTTTGTTGTTGTTTGAGCTCAAATTGCTCGTCCCTCTCTATCCACTTATCAAAGTTAGTCGACATGGTGGTATAGTGTGGTTATAATCTCTACAATATTTTTGCCACCACTACAACTGTGTGTATACAGGCCTATTTCTGTTGTCGTTCACGTCTCCTTCTACCACAGCTTAAAATATTATATGCCATGTTTCCACAAATGATTGAAATATCAATAAACAAAATAAGGATTACCATACACGCCCACAAAATATTGTTGTTTCAACAAAAATAAGAAAGTAAAGGTGCTTTGAAGAAGTTTTATGATTTACAAATGATTGAACATTTGTTTACCTACCGTGATTATAGGCCCGGCATGGCTAGGTGGCTAGGGAGCTGGACTTGCAATTTGAGGGTCGAGGTCTCGAATCTCCGTCCTACCAAACATGGGCGTTATAATATGACAGTCAATCCCACTATTCGTTGGTAAAAGAGTAGCCCAAGAGTTGGCGGTGGGTGACGATGACTAGCTGCCTCCCTGTAGTCTTTCACTGCTAAATTAGGGACGGCTAGCACAGATAACCCTCGTGTAGCCTTGCACAAAATTCCAACCAAACGGTGATTATATGTTTATTTTTATTATTTACTTATAGCATTCATAATTTCATTTTTTAGTTAGATCAATTTCCTATGCCAAGTAGTTCCTTCTACCACACTCCTAAACAATAATCACAGAACTGATCCTTTTTATTCACTTAATTAATGTTATCTTGTTGGGTACTTTTACGATAGTAAGTAAACACTGGAATTTGTGATGCTGAATATTTAATGTACAATAAAAACAAATAGTGCTTATTAAAATTCTTATAATAATGCTTTGATGTTTATTATACAAAACTCTAAGGAAAAGTTGTTTAGTTACATAAATCTTCAAGAAAAGATTCTTTAGTTCTATCTCGTAGTTATATGTTGTACTACAATAGAGAAGAATAAAGAAACTTCCGATTATTTGAACGATTAGATAAATAAGTAAAACAGCCACATATCAATAGATAATTTTTCAATCTGTTTAAAGGTTTAGGAAAATAAACTGAATGATTTCGAAGAAGTTCGGAGTGATATGGCAAATGTTTGCTTCTCTTATGAGCTTTATCATTAAATGACTCAGTTGTTTTTGGTGTTAAAATATGTTCTGTGTGTTCGATTTAAGACTAAATCCGTCATATTGTCGTTTTTTATATATTCGTATTATTTGAGATTACTCAATTATCTTCTCGTTTTGAAAAAAAATGGCTTTGTAAATTGTCATTTTTTAAACATTATTGTTTAAAATGTATAAGAAAACTGTGAAATTAGAGATCAAAATTAAATATTTAGAAAGATCAATTCACAGGACACTAACCTCATATAAATAATAAATGCAGTTTCTTCGCAGTTTTGTCTGTCATTTAGGTGAACTGGTGAAGCTTATTGCCAGTACATTATATACCGTTTAACTCTGAGCAGCGAGGTTTTGCACTATCCACACGTTTTCTTTCTGAAATTAAAAACTATTGTAAACAGAAATACCAAATTACATTCACTTTCCTTGAAAGTTTTATACAGTTTTTAGAACAATATATCTATGCGAATTCTCTAGGACGAGCAAATTAGTAAGCATGTATTTTAGATAATAAAAACCAGGAAAGAAACGTACAGATACTCGTGTCGTGTTTTTTACTAGTTAAAGTTACTGGTTCTTACTCAAGACAAAAAATCTTCAATGTTTGGGATCGTATACCACGGCATAAATGTATTATCGATTTCTATGTTATTTTACATGTTAATCGGCAAACTCATATATTTTGCTCACGAGAAATTTGTTATATTCTCGTTTTATTTTCGTGCTGCAGTTGTTCTCTCACGAATGTAGCCGACTTGTAGCAACGTTGCTGTTGTAGACAATACATGCGTTTTGGTACACCGTTGTACAGTGGCTGTGGTCTTGATGTAAAACTAGTACCGCAGTTTACACTGCCTCTCCTGTAGAGAAGTGGGGCATTATGGGTCACATACTCAAGGTCAGGGTGACAGCATGAGACAGGTTTTAACAACAAATGGGCATAGCTACGATCTCGCGTAGACTGCTTCAGTGTAAACAGTCCATTCTTCGTCAAAATGTCTTACATTGTGTAAGTTCATAAAAAAAAACAAGCAAACATTTATCATCAGTGTACAAAATAAGTAACAGATTGAAAAGTAATTCGCATAATTTCCTGCGTGTAATATAATTATATAAACTTCGTTAAGCTGTTTAAGTTCGGAGTCGGTAGGTTAATTTTTCTTTGCCGCCATGATATCTACACTGCTGAATTTACCTGTCTGGAATTATATAATTGCTCTTGTGATTGGGCTGATGCTACTCTGGAAATTTCTCACTTCCAGAAAGACAGTCTTACCCTCCGCGGGTAAAGCTGTATTAATTAGTGGATGTGACAGTGGAATAGGTAACCATCTTGCTCGTCGCCTCCACGCTGAAGGCTTTGTGGTGTTTGCTGGTTGCCTACTTCCTGAAGGGGAAGGAGCAAAAGCCCTAAAAAGACTTTCATCACCTCAACTGTTAGTACTACCTCTGGATATAACTAGTGATTTCAGTGTTAGTGAAGCCATCCAGTTTGTTCGAGACAATTCCCCAGAAGCCGGTATGTTTGATACTAAGTAACGAAATTTCAGTTACTATTCACTTCTGTTGGATATAACTATGGATAAAAATAATTTATAACTTTCTATTGATATATTATAAATGATTAGTTAATCCGAATTGATTTCCACCACTAATTAGTTTATGTTTCTCTTCAAGTTGGATTTCGAGTTAGTTATCATCATATAATACAAAATTAATTTGAATAAAAATTAGTAAAAAACGTTCACCTCAATAAAGTTTTACATGAGGGCCAATTGTGGGGGTAGGAGGGCTAATGCTCTCCTCAAGTAAATTAGAGAAACCTAACAAAGAAGCACCAGCTTCACACTTTTATTGTATGTGCTGAAAGTTGCAGTACAATCCAATACACCTGAACCTCCATAAGAACTTGCTATCCACTCTCAAATTAAATGGCGTTGCTGCAATTATATCTAACATTATTCTTAGCTCTGAGTCTCGAAATGTGCCCGAGTGGTTCTGTGGTTAACGGGAGAGCTTATAACGCTAAGAATCGGTGTTCAGTACCTGCGGTGAGTACAGAGCAGAAGGTACGAAATCGCGAAGTTTGAAATATAAGGCACTTACTCAATCTTGGTAGTTGGGGCGTTCGATTTGCAATTTGTGGGTCGCGGGATCGAAACCTGTCATCGAATATGCTCGCCCCTTTCAGCCTTGATAATGTGATGGTCAATCCCATTGTTCGTTGGTAAAAGAGTAGCCCAAGTGTTGACGGTAGGTGATTTTGACTAGCTTTCTTCCCTCTAATCTATCACTGCTAAATTAGGGACTGCTAGCGCAGATAGCCCTCAAGTGGCTTTGCGTAAAATTCAACCAAAAAACAAAGTACACTATCATAAACATTTTATGTGCAAAATTATCATTCATCTAGTTCCATAACATTTTCCTTTGCAATTAAATTTTTAAGGCAAATTTAAACCGCTTTTTCAAGTAAGAGAAAAACTAAACACTAGTTAATATTATTTTTTAATTTGACGTACTTTAAATTCAACTAAAGAGGTGAAACACGTTTGAGCCAGCTAACATATTGTCAAAACTAGGGCAATCTCTGGAAGGAAAAGAAAAAAAATTAATAGCCTAGTGTTAAAATAAACCGAGGGGAACTGGCAGGTTTGTTTGAAATTAAGCACAAAACTACACAATGGGTTATCTGTACACTGCCCACCACGGGTATCTAAACCCGGTTTCTAGCGTTGTAAGTCAGCAGACATACCGCTATGCCAATGGGGGGGGGGGGGGCAGGGAACTGCTAGTACAATTGCAAGAAGGACGTAAACTAATAATTCACCAATCGAGTTAAGAATGGTTTTAACTCAATCCTTCTGCTTTTTAAAAACAAAATTCATACCATATATTATAAATTACGTATTCTGAAACATCAGAAAGAACAATTGATACTATTTAATATTGAGAGCAGCTTTACAGTAGAAATTCGTTTTTTGTTTTTAGGAAATAAAATTACGACGTTTCAGCCTTTTGGAGCGTGTGATCTTTAGGCAATGTATGGGTGACAATACTACTTTGAATTTCTAACTGTTCTAAATCATACATTGTCTGAGATGGTACGTCCCTATGTGCTGGTTTCTCGGTGGTTCAGCAGTAAATTTATGGACTTACAAAACTAAACTTCGCGATTCCATTCCCCGCGGTGTACAGAACCCAGACAGCCCACTGCAGTTTTGCGTTAAAAACAAATAAACAAACCTAGGTGCTCAAACGTCACAGTTTTGATTGCATAAAAATCAACATTTCCACTATAACTGTTCACTGTTTCATCGTAAGTTAATATTAAGTTCAATCACCTAGTGAAGTCCTCATCTCTTTATAGATGATTGATGTTATTTCAGTATGTGTACTTATATTAGCTTGGTAATCAATACATTTGCCCTATTTCTGTTATTAATGAATTAATTTCGAATTTAATTCTTTGCTTGTTTCAGTTGATTTTTATAAAAATCGTATGTTAAAGTGAAGCACCAATTTTTTTCAAAAATATTTTTGTAATATTCCAGGCTTATGGGCTCTTATCAATAACGCAGGAGTTTGCGTCTATGGAGAATTTGAATGGCAAACTTGGAACCAATGTACAACGCAAGTGGAGATTAACTTAATGGGCACCATTCGACTCACTAAACTTTGTCTTCCATTAATCCGACGTAGTAGCGGTGAGTCACTCGATACATGTACGTAAACATTTTAGATTCAGCTTCTAAATAACACATAAAATTATGCCATGGTTTAAAAGTCTGAATATTTTTCGTATATATATCTAAATATTCACTACTATCTGGATATTACTCAATACTTACGGGTAAGAACAAATTGGTTAACGTGGGGTAAGTAAGTTACCTACTTTCCCCGTACTAAAATGATGTCACATTCTCATTGTTTACCCATCGAAAAATATTTTCCTAAGATTCAGTGGCCTAGTGATCAGGACGCTCAACTCGCAATCCGTGGATCGCGGGTTTGAATCCCCGTCACTGAACATGTTCACCCTTTTATCGGTGTGGGTGTTATAATGGGATGGGCAATCCCACTATTCGTTGGTAAAACAGTATCCCAAGAGCTGGCGGTGGGTGGCGTTGACTAGCTGCCTTCTCTCTAGTCTATCACTGCTAAATTAGGGACGGCTAGACCTCGAGTATCTGTGCGAAATTCAAACCAAATCTAACTTACCTAAGATTCAGAAAGTTAATGTCACGTCGAAGAGTATTCAAATTTTGGTAACGTTTGGTGTTTCAGCTTTTGTATCTTTCTATTTTTTAAGGACTTTTACGTCTAAGTAAAATATTCTAAACAATAAAGAACTAGTGATAACTCGTTGTAGTTGTTTGCATTTCAGCAATCTAGTAATTATTTTACTGGTTGTGACACATATGTTTCTCATGTACTTATTAAAACAGGAAGAATTGTGAACATAACCAGTATCAATGGCTCTTGTGCTTTCCCCGGATTGTCTACGTACAGTGCTACTAAGTTTGGACTGGAAGGGTTTTCGGACTCCCTAAGGCTGGAGATGACCAAATTCAATGTCCGTGTTGTAGTCATCCAACCAGGAGACTTAGCCAGACTCACCAATATCATGCAGGATCATAGAATACACGCGGACAGAATGTGGTCACAAATGAACACAGAACAGAAGAACCTATATGGCAACTACTTTTACAAGTATCACCAGTTCATCTGTGAAAACTACGGAATGACATCCCCTCCTAACTTTGAATCCTCATCTTTATTCACCGATGTGCTTGAAGCCTTGAGCATTTTGAAACCGCAACCTCGTTATGTTAGCGCGCCTTGGCAGTTCCGCTATTTCTACAGAATTCTTCAAATCCTCCCAACACGCTGGAGTGACAAACTTGTGGAGTTTCTGTTTGCAAGAGTTTTTAAGTTCAAGCTATAGTTTTAACCATGCTCATTATTTTAACTAGGTTATACAACACCTTTCATGTACTATTGGGATGTGAAACCTTTCTCAAAAACTATATATATATATTATAAATTAGAACATACAGTGACTGAAAAATTTGAAAGTTAGTGGTTAACTAATGCCTGGATAATTTCTTGCCACAACTTATTAACAAAGTATCTTATTATTGTAGTTTGTACTATTTTATATTATCTCCAACTCTAAATCAATAAATAATATAAGATTCGTCCAATTTCTATGTAAAGACTTGAAAAATGATTATTGAATACGAACGTTATTTAGGACCGAAGTCTGACTTTACCAGTGTTACGTATCTGCTTGTTTGTTAATTTCCGGTAGAAATTCTTTCCGAGAAACTTCAGCGATACAAGTCCTTTCTTGATCAAACCAGTTTATTCTTCCTCGATACAAACTATTAGTACACAGTAATTCCACAGTCAGTACATTTCTCGTCACGTTAACTTAACAACTTTTATAAAATACACTATAAATCACAGCGATTCACAATCTCGATAATTTTGCTCTCTACGAGTGCAAAACACACGCTAGCTCGAAACAGAATCGTAAATTACCCAAACCTCACCGTGACTACTGTTCGCTTCACCATTCCCTAGCTTTTCACTGCCAGGCTTATATACTAACAAAGAGGCTTCTCCAAAATTCTCGGAGTTCTCCGATAATTCGAGAAATTCAGTCACGCATGCGCTAGCCGAGTCACGTGACTTCCACTGTCGTAACACCAGGTACGTTGCCCAACTTTATTCTAATACCCTCTTAAATGTCCGAAACTCAAAATACAAAAAGTATTTAAGTTAATCTTTGAGTTTGTATAATACATATCTTAGTCTCCAAACTGCTTCAGCTTAAATTCTTATTTGCTCAATTTGTCGGAAGAAAAGGTTAAGTTAAGAAGCTGAATTTAGTGAATTGGATGAAAAACTCAACAGAACAGCTAGCAGTTTCAATATCTGTTGTATAAAAAATAAATAACAATACAATATACACTTCAAAATATTTTGATTGAAGCTTAATAAATAAAACATATAACAATAAAGTATTTTTGTAATCAAAGTATCAAGAAAAGAAGGATGATAAACTCAGATAACAGATAATTTTAATGTTGACTTTTAAACTGTAACTACTTTCTATTTCTTCATTAATAAAACTGATTTACTTACAGCTCTTAACAATAGTAGAAGTAACTATATTTATACAGAGTTTTAGTGTGTTATAATAAAACGATTCTGCACCCTCACCATGTCGTTACTGTCCATGTAACCACGTCCAGTTATACTGTATCTGACGGTTGTGCATGGGACAATGGCCCTGATGCGTACTTTTCCATTACAAAAGAACCTGTCGTAAGGCTTCAATGTCCAAAACACACGAATATTTCCTAAAAGCTTTACATAATCCAGTTACATTATGAATACAATGGTTTCCTAGCGCCTGTTTCAACATTCCAATCACACAAAAATTCATAGGCACTGTATCTGGCGACTTGACAGGAATGTCGTCTTTTGAAAGCATGAATAACCATTTCGTTCTCCAGTTCCTTGCGTTATGCAATAGTTGAATGGATTATGTTACGGAAGCAATTATTGTCTACGTGACTTGTGTCACTTTCCAGGTGACTATGATTCGTACTGTTGCCTGTAACACATAGATGGATTTTGTTGCCGACTTTTGTGTTCATGTATTCTAACCATTTACAAGACTCTGCACTTTGCTTTCCACAACTGTAGTATGACTTGTTGCATATCTCTTTCTGAATTGACCTGGTTCCCCAAGTTGACCCGTATTCCTTTGTTTTCCAATGTTATTATCTGTAAGGAATATCCCTGTTTTGCAAGTTCTAAACCTCGATCTAAACACATCCTTATGATCTTAGTGTGTGAACATTTTGAGTTGGACAGTAATAAATTTTCTGTAGCATCACACTACCTACTCAACACCAAACAGTTTCAAAATGTAATTCTGATACATAGCATTTCACTGCGACTGTATATCGACTGTGGTTGTCATGTGACTTTCCGGTTGCATATTCACAACAGTTTTAATATAACGTACTTAATCCTCTGTGTGTATGTATACATTGAAATAAACAATCAGATTTAGTCATTCCTTGGGCATATGTTAAACCAGTTCCAAATCTTTTCTGTTACTTATGTTCTTCATTATAAAGTCTACAAAAGTGCTTAAAAACAATAAAGTATATTCTGATATACTGCCTGAATCTGTTGTTCCATGAGTCTAATATTACATTTTGTCAAATTAAAAAATACTCTGAAAAACTATAATTGCAATTTATCAACTGATAAAATATGTCAGAAGTATCACGAAATATACTAAAATATCCCGTAGCCAGGAGATGTTCGACCGAATCCTCACCAGCTAAGAAAGATCAGCCAACTTCGTTGCTTACTCAGGCTAAAGAATCTGAATTAAGTCTCACCATTAATCTAAGGTTTCTAATTTCATGGTTACTAATATTAAAGACTTTGCTTAATTAATACTGAGAATACCATAGAATTCATATTTTACTGAAATAATTGAAACACCAAACTTGTTACCTAAAATAGATCATTCGGACTAGTTTCGTGTTTGTTTGCTGATACGATTCATAAGGGCTTATGTTGACCCTGTGATAGGCGACTAGATTTCGAATCCATGCAATGCCACAAACTACGTCTCGCATCTAAAGCTGTGAGCGTATTATAACGTCGGTTCTCAACTGGTTGGGAGCGCCTCCATGTGAGGCGGGGGGTGGTGGTGGTACGAACGTTTTAATGATGCTATAATAAGTTACAAAAATAATAATTTTAAAAATTATGTTACAAATTAGCATTTTATTACTATTGTTGTTGTTTTATTTAATATTTTAACCGCGCTTTTAAGTAAAGAGCCAATCAGGAGTAAGTTGCATTTTTCAGTATCAGTGAAAGTTTCTGCCGCTGAAATCGCGTATTAGTGACCGAAGATGTTTGTATAACGCTATCGCTATATTTGGGGGGGGGGGGGATGGGTGTGAGTACCAAAACAATTTTACGGTAAAACTGGTCAGTAGTTCAAATTTAGGGATGGTGGCAGATAGCCTAAGTAGCTTTGCCATGATTATAAAATATAAATACAAATATGTCAATAATGTGCAATGTACCAACATAAAACCACATTAGTGACTTATTCTTGCTTTCTAACACAAGTAAAAAAATTCAGTATATTTCGAGAAAAATACTTATTAGAAAATAATATCTACTGAAAACAAAACAAAAAAAACTGAAATCCAATAAAAATCAAATAGATAGCGCGAAAGTTCATGGAACTTTGATTATTGCTATGGAAGTGTTGCTATAGTTCATACAAAGAATAGCTGTTTAATCTTTATATTTTATGAGTTATATCAAGCCAGTATAAACATGAGCAACTAACAAACTTTTTATTTTTATACTTAAAAACTTTAAATTACTTGTTTTTTTAATCTCGTTTGTTCAACCATAAATATACATTTTTGTAACTATGGCCAAAAAATTACAAAACCTGAAGCGTACAGGAAATAGCAAGATGCAGCGAAATATATGTATGATATTTGAAGATTACAGAATAATCACTACACTGGGTTGAGGTACCAAAATCTCCGAAATCCAAGGATTCTGTGTTTGAATCTGACTGCATAGATCTAAGAAAGAGAGAGACACATAAATAGTTGTACAATGGATAAAATTATTTATCATCGTTAGACTACGTATCTAAAAAAACGCAATAGAAAATAAATTAACAAAATAAACATGTTGATTTCAGGTAAAGCATGACAAGCTAAAAACAACTGTATGTAAAATCTTAAAATAACTAAATTAAAACAGTATAGCACGATTAGAATTGAGAAGAAAAGAAATCACAAAAAACATACACGTTACCATCATAGTCAGTCTTGTCACTTCAAAGATCAAGATGAAACTCATAAAAATATGTAGCTTGAACAACAATATCACTTCAGATAGATGATTAATTATATCCTGATCAAAATCTATCACAAGTAAATAGTGATTCTAATTTAACAAACAGGGAGAGAATAGGTCAGGCTAGTGGCGTAATGAGGGTGTCTGGCACTCGTGGGAAAAACGTAATTTGGCGCCCCCCCAAAAAAATAACCTAACTCCATCCGTCCTGTACACTTTTCAATTCTAACCTTACATGACAACCCTACCTACCATGGTACTGTATCTCACCATATTGTCATGATTAGCTGATCTTTGAAAGAAAATTGCTGGTTGAATATGTAATAGCAGCACAGGTACGGCCTTATCAGGCAGTAAAAACTTAAAGTGGTAACTAGCCACATCAATATCTAAACCTGAGAATTAACAAATAACCATATTAGGCGATTCACAGTACGTAACTTCTGAATGCCTGCTGGCCATGTCCCCAGATTGAGCACAGTTCTCTGATAAAACCTATGTATAATATTAAAATGTCTTGAAAAGTTTTTTGGTGTACAAAACTTGAAGATAGTTTTTATATACGGAAACATGTGTTAGCTGAATTATCGCACAGATATTGAAATATAACGTTGGTAAATAGAAACACACAAAGATGCGATACCTACCACACAGAAAAGTATGGTTATTTATGAATTCTCGTGCCACTGCGAATGTCGGTACGTATGTCGCACTTCACAAATATTGCAGGATAGAATTAAACAACATGTATTCACATCTATAAGAACTAAGAGTGTAAAAGGAAAGAATTTACCTCGTCGCTCCTGTAAAACAAAAGTCCTACCACCAAAATGTGAATCAGCGATTGGCCAGTATTTACTAGTGAACCCGACTTGTGCTGACAACTACACGGATAGCAGGTTTGAAATTACTGCAAACGGTCGGTCGACCTTTCATCTCTATATTTTGGAAGCCACCCTTATTAAAATACATAAACCTGGCCTTTGCCGCCAAAAAGAATTCCTATACAATCTACACATCCTTCAGTAGGTCTGTGACATTTCCTGATTGGCTAAAGGACATGTCAATCAGTGATTGCCTTACCGGTCTACGTTGATCTAACTCATTCTATAAGCTGTACTATTTCCTATAGATCATTTTCCTAACGGACGGTCATTACCAGTGAAAGTGGGTTTTCTCGGGGTACTCCCGTTTACCCCACATTAAATTCTCGGCATAGGATTTTTAGATCCCTACCGCCCTGATGGACCATCAGTCCGACATCGGCCGTTTAGTTTAGTCTACTTTGCTCTTCACTTTTTATTTTTACCGTTACTCTCACGTTTACCTTTTTAGATTTACATACCTTGTCTGCATTAATTTCCTGTTTTCTCAAGTTAAGCCCATATTCCTAGACCACGCGCGGGGTGAAGGTGGATTGTCTAATCTTCGAGCACTCTAGATTAGTAATTATTAGTAAAAGGCTTTCTCGGGAT